TCATATCCTTGTAAACCGAAGAAAAAAAAAGTCAGTAAACGTCGTCGTTTTGATTCTCAGTGTACACGTGACATCGAATCATCGATAATGGTTGTTTCTGCATAGTAGATATACATAAGATAACGTCTCTTTTAAAAAGCTTGGAAAAAATCTGAATTTGGAAGATGTATATAGACATTGCTTCATCTTCTTCACCTTTTCTTCCATCCAGACCTCATATTTACACCTCCATACCCTTCTTCACCGTTCCTTCTCAACGCAATCTCATCTTCACAGTCTCTGCTTCTTCTTCATCATCCTCTTCACAAACCAAAACCGTATGGAGAAAAGAACCGGAGAATTCCTCAACGAAACATCGGAGGTATCAAAGATCTGCTTTTCTCGATCACAAAGTCGACATGGACGAGCTTCTAGCTTCAATTCACCAAACCCAGAACGAAAAAGAGCTTTTTTCTCTACTTTCTTTGTATAAAGACAGACAATTGTCTATACGTTTTATGGTATCTCTTCTTTCCCGTGAAAAAGATTGGCAGAGATCACTTGCATTGCTCGATTGGGTTCATGAGGAAGCTAAATACACACCTTCGGTTTTCGCTTACAACGTCGTTCTTCGAAATGTGTTAAGGGCTAAGCAATTTGATATTGCACACGGACTGTTCGACGAAATGCGTCAGAGAGCTCTTTCGCCTGATAGATATACTTATTCGACGCTAATTACTTCGTTTGGTAAAGAGGGTATGTTTGATTCGGCTTTGGCTTGGCTTCAAAAGATGGAGCAAGATCGTGTTTCAGGTGACCTTGTTTTGTATAGTAATCTCATTGAGCTATCTAGGAGGCTTTGTGATTATTCAAAGGCTATTTCGATTTTCTCGAGGTTGAAAAGATCCGGTATTACGCCTGATCTTGTCGCGTATAATTCGATGATCAATGTTTATGGAAAAGCCAAATTGTTCAGAGAGGCGCGTTTGCTTATAAAGGAGATGAAAGAAGCTGGTGTTTCACCAAACACAGTTAGTTACTCCACGCTTTTGAGTGTTTATGTGGAGAACCAGAAGTTCTTAGAAGCTTTATCGGTTTTCGCAGAGATGAAAGAGGTGAATTGCCCATTGGATCTCACGACTTGCAATATAATGATCGATGTTTATGGTCAGCTTGACATGGTGAAAGAAGCTGATAGGTTGTTTTGGAGTATGAGGAAAATGGATATCGAACCAAATGTTGTTAGCTACAACACTATCCTTCGTGTTTACGGTGAGGCTGAGCTTTTTGGTGAAGCCATTCATCTTTTCAGGTTAATGCAGAGGAAAGACATTGAACAGAACGTTGTTACTTACAACACTATGATTAAGATCTATGGGAAAACTCTGGAGCACGAAAAGGCTACAAATCTTGTTCAAGAAATGCAGAGCCAAGGAATTGAACCTAACGCCATTACTTACTCAACTATTATATCAATATGGGGAAAAGCTGGCAAATTGGACCGAGCTGCGATGCTGTTTCAGAAGCTGAGGAGCTCGGGTGTAGAAATCGATCAAGTTCTATATCAAACAATGATTGTGGCTTATGAAAGAGTTGGTCTAATGGGTCATGCTAAGCGTTTGCTTCACGAACTAAAGCAACCGGATAACATCCCTAGGGAAACCGCTATCACCATTCTGGCTAAAGCCGGGAGAATGGAAGAGGCGACATGGGTTTTCCGTCAAGCATTCGAATCAGGGGAGGTAAAAGACATATCGGTATTTGGTAGTATGATCAATCTTTACTCGAGAAACCAAAGGTACGTAAATGTCATTGACGTGTTTGAGAAAATGAGAAGCGCTGGTTACTTTCCGGATTCAAATGCAATAGCTATAGTGCTGAACGCGTACGGGAAACAAAGAGAGTTTGAAAAAGCGGATACAGTTTACAGAGAAATGCAAGAAGAAGGATGTGTTTTCCCTGATGAAGTGCATTTCCAAATGCTGAGTTTATACTCATCAAAGAAAGATTTCGAGATGGTTGAATCTTTGTTTGAGAGATTGGAATCTGATCCTAATGTTAATAGCAAGGAATTGCATTTGGTTGTGGCGGCTTTGTATGAGAGAGCCGATAAACTAAACGATGCTTCAAGAGTCATGAATCGAATGAGAGAACGAGGAATTTTAAAGCCGTTTTCTGGATGAAACATTTCAGATGATTCTTCTTGTGATATCTTGCGTAAACAATGTATGTTCCATCTTCAGTTTTACACTTTGTTGATTATTTTAATTTGATGGTACATACTTGTTACTTCTTCGTTTCAAAATAGTTGTCATTCTATCCTTAATTTTTTTTGTTTCATATTACTTGTCATTTTGCAATTTCAATACACATTTATGACTAATTTTTTCCATTTTATCCCTACTTTTAAGCTTATTAATTATTCATATCAAATACTCCTTCCGTTTCAATACGTACTAGAATAGTACCCACGTTATACGCGAGATAAAATACATATCATGTCAAAATTAATATAGTTTAGTTAAATAATCAATTGTAGTTATTGATAGATTTATTATACGAAATCTAGATTCAACTTTACATATTTAAATTTGTGATTATGTTTTATAAAATGTATTCCACCCGTGAAAAAAATTGAAGCCAACGAAACATATTTTTCAAAGATGCGGTACATGATTCAAAGATAAAAAATGGAAGATTACATATATAACCATAAACTTGTCACCAATTTCCAATCTTATAAATTAATTATTATTTTAGCGTTATTTAGTAGATAAGTTGCGTAGATTACATAAAAAGTTGTTTTCTAATTATGTTTGGTTATAAAAAGTGTGTATTTGTAGAGTGTTTGGGTAGTAGGATAGTAGGAGTTAATAAATAAAGATACTTTATTATTTTATAAAGGTGAAAAAATTTAAGAGCTTAAAACATTATCAAAATTGTGAAAAAAAATCCTTTAATATATATAAGATTAGGTAGTTATAATATTCTTTTGACTATAAGTAGTGACATTTAATTAAATTTTTAAATGTGGCAATTTAGTTTGTTATTATGTTTTGGTATAGGTGAATAGTCAATTGTGGACGTAGTGAATTTAGTATTTAGGTAGTTATAATATTCTTTTGAAAATTAGTAGTGACATTTAATTATTATTTTTAATCGTGGCAATTTTGTATAGTAATGACAATTTTTTGTATATTTTGTATGGTAATAAGTAGTGACAATGTGGGTGATTGGTTCGGCTGTAACTGTAGATTAATTGCTGTAGAATTTTTGCTGTAAATGTTTTGGCTGTAGCTGTACATTTTTTAGGCTGTACATTTTT